TAAACAAAAGCTAGGGTTTAGCAAAGAAATTTCTCAGAAGACACAGATGTTCTCTCTCTCACAGTTTTCAAGCTATTCACTTTTAAAGAGTGCTGTGGACAGACAAACATACCGACTAAGCCCTTTATATATAGAATTGGCTGTATCAGAAATCAGCCTGATGCAGCCAGTAAGTTGGCAGATAAATTCCCATGCATGCGTGCAGCCACAGCGCAGCATGAGGGCAGTGAAGAGCAGGGCCCAGCAGCTTGGAGAAGTGCGCGCAGCTGGTAAGTCTGTTGTGGTAGAAGGGGAGGGAAAAGGGGTGTTGGGGGCAGATCAATGCCCCCCATGGTGAGAGAAGGAGTGGGCAGGGGCTGGGGCAGGTGCTGCCCGGGTGGGGTGGGGTGGAATGCAGGACGGAGCCGTGACTCATTGAGGGAGGAGGGGGGAAAGTACCCCCCGGATCTGCGCAGGGCTGGTGAGCTGCAGCTGCGGGCTGTGCCAGGCTCTTCTCAGCAGTGGCTGGACTTGGGGTGGGCAGCAGCAGCACTGGGAGCGAGGATGGGGGGCTTCAGCAACCCCAAATTTTGCCATAGCCCCTCCAACCCCACCTCCCAGTGCTGTCACCAGCGGCCCAGAGAGCAGCCCCGGCTCAACACCCCGCCTCCACCCATGCACCAGGAAGAGCCAGGGCTGCACCAGGCAGGTGGCAGCAGCACTGGAAGGGAGGTCTATGAGGGGTCTACAGCAAAATTTGGGGGGCTGCAGCCCCCCGTAATCCCCTTCCCAGCACTGCCACCACCTGCCCCAAGCCCAGCCCCTGCTAAGAAGAGCCTGGGACAACCCCGGCTCCAGCCCGCAGCTGCAGCCCACCCATCTTGCCCCATGCAGACCCAGGAACCACCCCCCCATCCTCCCTGTCACCCGTAATTAAACAGCTTGTTGGAGCTTGACATCTAAATTATTTAAAGACTACATAGGAACTGTGCCTGCTGCAGCCTGGGAATAAGCAAGATTCTCTTTACAACTGATGCTTAGGGTGGCTGCAGGCTTCTGTGGCACAAGAGCACCAAAACTGATTTAGGGAGAATATCACGTTTGTGCCTTCTGTGCCCCTCTGCTAGCACTCAGCTGATGAAAAGGAGAATTTGGCTTGGCTTGAAGGTAGAGTGGACAAAATGTTCTGTTGCAAAAATGTGATAGTCTTTAGTGGATGAGGCAGGGATCAGCAGGAAGAGACAATATGTGCCCATCTCTCTCATTTTCTAGATGCTCAACTTACAGCTGTCATATCCAGTTGCCAAAAATGCACTCAGAACTACAGCCAATCAATATAAACTGTATTATATATAATTGCTATAATATGCAAACCTCTATGAACAATTAGGCTGTAGGTATCTCAGAGTTAGAGGTCACTGTTGACATTAATCTGTGCCTCAGTTTCCCATCAGTAAAATGAGGATGATACTGTTTCACATCATAGAGGTGTTTTGAAGATGAACTGTTTTTTTATGCTGTAGCAGCTCAACAATAGTGATGAGCACCTTTAAAATGCCCACTGAAATGACTCAGTGAAGTATTGGAAGCATTCCCAAAGATGCTCAAAAACTGAAGGTTCTGTCTAGGCAATGTCCATGATAAGACATACATGAACCAGATGTGCAAAGCTATTTTACTTTTACATCTGGTCAGTGAACAGGAAGAGCAGGCCCGTCATTACATGCAGTGAAGCAGCTCACCTCCAACTCACTTGGAACTGGTGACACCATGCACCAGTACTTGGCTCAGTGTCAAAGGGGATGTACTTGCTCCACTGTTTTTCCGTGCCTTGGGTTGCAAAATTGGTTAATTCTCAGCCAGTTAATTGCCTTTGCACTGATTAAAAGTGGTTTCTATATTGTTCAGGGAAAATCTTCTGTATTAGCTTACAACATGGTGATAATTGGTGAAAAAGAAAAAAATGTTATTTCACATGAATAAAACTTAATCTCTTAGTAGCCCTTAAATGAAAATTAAACTTTTGCTTTATAAATTAACTTTGATTTTTGTTTTCAGCCACTTGCCCTAGAATAGTACTAAGTCTTCAGAATATTTTTTTATAATAGGAAAACCTTCATGTTTTAAGACGTGATTAGATTAAACTAATTTAGTTCAATTTTTACAGTCAACTAAAATTTACATAGACCAAACCTGAACCGTTCCAGCCCAAAAGAGAAAAGGTTTAAGGGAGTGAAGACTGGGGTTGGAAAGTAAGTCACTTATCAGCTTGTCACAGAAGTGTATGTGTAAAACTTGCAGAAAAATATTTTTTTTTTTTTTTACAATTCCTTTGTCGGTCTAAAAAAAGATATCATCTCTGAACCAAGAGTTCTAGAATTTTGCATTTCTTTTTGTCTCAGACCAACATGGCTACCAAATACATCCCTGAAACATGGAAGATGCCGAATTTTAGCCAATTTTGGATTTAAACTTCATTGCTAAACAATAAGAGAGATTTCTACACCTCCCTACCTGTCTGCCATCTGACACCACCAAGGAAAGAATCTTGCCTTACCTGCACATCAAAGAGCAACTCAAAGACACTCTGATGGACCCAGAGGAACAGACTTCCACCTTCAACTTCCTCTGTGCAAAAATCAAGTTATTTTCTACCTATGGGAACTTTTTATCATCTTTAATTTTCCCTAAGCCTGAGGAGAAGGGCATGCATGCCCAAAAGCTTGCAGAGAAAGATAATTTGTTTTGTGATTTCTTAGTTGGTCCAATAAAAGGTATCATCTCTGAACCAAGAGTTCTAGAGTTTTGCATTTCTTTGTATAAAACATAAGTTTGTTTGTAACATGAGTCTTAAGTAGCTGTTGTCTCATAGCTAAGTCATATATAGGTAACAACAGGCAATATCATATAGTAGGTATTTTTCTTAATTCCTCTGAATCACCACAAGTGGTTAAATGTGTAAGGAATTTTTGCTTTTTCTGAAGGAAAAAAGTGAAGAGATGCAAAATCTAATAAGCGTGTATTAAAATCCAGCAGAAAATGTCATTGTTTTTTACAATGTAAATGCAGTTATGTTCAATGCATATATTCTTCAGTTACAGAATGTCATTTTATTAAAAAATGAAAAAAATATTTCCACTTGGGCAGTTTAGAAGTCATACGTTCTCATTCTGTATTATTACAAAAGACAGATTCTGAAAAATTTAATAAATGAGTTTTTTTGGCCTTTCCCATGTAAATTCTTCTCTTCCAAAGTGTCCATAACATGCAGTCTGTTGATAGATTGGCCTCTTCAAATCCAGTTCCCTTTAAAAAAGGAAAAAGAAGATTTATTTTCAAGTCTAGGCCCATGTGTAATGCATTGTCTGTCTTTGTGGAGTAATACGTTTACAATTACACCCCTTAATCAAGGGGCAGATTTTAGTTGACCCTGCGGACCAGGAGTAGATCCAGGGGGATGCCAGGGTGCAGCTGTACCAGCCCTTCACCTTTTCTTACTCCACTCTAACTTTGAAACAAACTGCTTTTGGCAGTGACAACAGCATCCTAACTAGCAACCAGTGAGGGAATCAGCTGACTTCATGGCTTATTATCATTTCCCTGATTCCTGCTAATCTCTCTCTACTCCACCCCTATTAATGATCCTCTCACCTTTTTAATAGTCATGATGTTCCACTATTCAGACTATCCTTTCTTCTGCAGTTTTGCAGTCTGTACTGTTTTAGCTCCAGCTAAAAACCTGAACTCACGTGTGCTAGTATGAACTAAGATGTAGAAATGACTGTTAGTGAAGTATTGGAAGCATTCCCAAAGATGCTCAAAAAGGATAAATTTTTGTTTTACAAATCTGAATTAGCCATGTACATTTAACAATAATGACTATAGGACTAATAAAACAATATATTTTGATTATTTTTGCTTTGTTTGCTGTATTTTTTAAACTTGATATATCATCTAGCTAACAAATTCCAATAAATCTAGGACATATTGCAATACATTTATATTTGGTTTTGCTTTGATCTTAAACTGAATAGTGGTAACCCACCAGCATATAAGTAAAGTTTCTGCTTTCTGTTTAAGTGGAGAAAATGTGTTGTTATATATGATTGTACCCACCTTTTCAAAATCCTAGATCTGCCCATGATGCAGACTAACCCCTCTTCTAACTAAAACTGTTCATATTTGCAATGAGAGCAACAGTCAGTTAATAGTTTCAAAGACCATTTACACGTCCTGAAAGCAGACAAATAAGTTGTCTAAAAGGCTATCAGACGGTATAGCCTTCTGATCTAAGCATTGATAGGTAGCTAAGAGGTATATCTTGGTACTTTTGTGCATTGGGGTGGGGGGGAGGCTATACCTTTCTGGACCCATGTCAGTGATTTTGCTGCCAGCAGTGCAACAGCTGCTATTTATGCGCCCTCCAACTCAGCACCTGGGGCTGGTGCCACAGGTGCCTTCCCTCTTTGCTATGCTACTGATGCAGCTATTAGTAGAAACACACGTAAATGAGCAGTACAAGTATAGGAATTCATTGCTTGATCGTAGTAAAAAAATAATTTTATATATCCTCTACCACAAAGCAGAGATGCATATAATTTCGTTCACCTAGTTTGACCACTCTACAAATAACATGTGCTTTTGGGTTTTAGATGTTTCTCCTATCTGGCTAGCAGGGCCAGGTGAGTTCGACATCTGTTTTAGGTCGCAGAGGAATATGATTTGAGGACAAGTTTGTTGCACAGTCAGTATTAAGTGGAGATACAAAGACAACACTACTGGACTTTTTTAAAGGCCATTCCCTCTGGTATATTGTTTCAACAGAAGACAAACCTTATGATGACGCCAAGACGTAGATCAAAGTTTTTCTGCACAATGTCAAGCAGTTCTTCTTCTGATCTATCTGAAGTACCATAGTGGAACACTGAGATGGCTAAAGGATGGCTCAGACCAATAGCATAGGACAGCTGTAAGACATCCCCATCAAGAAAAGTTAATACAGATTGGGATTTTTACACAGAGATCTGTCTAGCTGTAGTCTTATTTGCAATACAGAAATTTCCCTTTAAGACATTTGTTTTGATATTCCATTCCTGCATGCTCTTGCTATGTTTTGGCCTGGTTTCTGCCTCCCAGCTAAAACATCTGCCACTCTTAGTAAGGTCCCTAGATACTATCATAATAAAGTGAAGATTCATTGTCCACAAACCAGGACTCTGAAGGGGATTTACAGTGGGTATAACTAGGTATATATCTTTTGTATACTTATGATGTATAAAAAACGGAGGGAAGATTCGCACATCATGCTTATAGGCTCTACAGTGCTGCTAGCACCATGGCTGAAAGGGATTTGGGGGTCATAATTGACCACAAGATGAATATGAGCCACCAATGTGATATTGCGGCTGGTAAAGTGAGCAACACTCTGGCTTGCAACCATAGAAGCTTCTCTAGCAAATCCCAGGATGTCATCCTCCTGCTGTACTCGGCCTTGGTGAAGCCGCAGCTGGAGTACTACATCCAATTCTGGGCTCCACAATTTAACAAGGATGTGGAAAAACTTGAGAGAGCCCAGAGGAGAGCCACGTGCACAATCAGAGGGCATGACTGACCACAAGATGAATATGAGCCACCAATGCAATGTTGCCGCTGGTAAAACGACCAAAACTCTGGCTTGCATCCATAGATGCTTCTCTAGCAAACCCCAGGATGTCCTTCTCCCATTGTACTCGGCCTTGGTGAGGCTGCAGCTGGAGTACTGCATCCAGTTTTGGGCTCCACAATTCAAGAAGGATGTGGAGAAGCTTGAGAGAGTGCAGAGGAGAGCAATGCACATGATCAAGAGTCAGGAAAACAGCCCTTATGAGAGGCTGAGAGCCATGGGAAAAGTGCAGGCTCTTCAGCCTGGAAAAGTGCAGGCTCAGGGGTGACCCAGTAGCTGCCTATAAGTGTATAAGGGGTGTACATCAGGATCTAGGGGAAAGCCTGTTCACCAGAGCGCCCCAAGGGATGACGAGATCAAATGGTCACAAACTCCTCCAAGACCATTTCAGGCTGGACATAAGGAAAAACTTCTTTATTGTCTGAGCCCCCAAGGCCTAGAATAGACTGCCTCCAGAGGTGGTACAAGCACCTGCTCTGGACTCTTTTAATAAACATTTGGGATCCATCTTGCTGGGATCCTTTGGCCCTAGCTGACTTCCTGCCCCTGGGGCAAGGGGCTGGACTTGATGATCTTCCGAGGTCCCTTCCAGCCCTAATGTCTATGAATCTATGAATTTGTTGTTTCTGCTTTTGTTTTACATAACTCTTGATTACCCCATTTTCTTTAAGTGAAATGCCATGCAAGTGAAGCCTAAATATTAAGAGAAGTGCTTACTGTTCAGATTATTACAATGCTTGCATATTTTTAATAAAATATATTTATATAGAGAGAAAGTTTATATATATAAATTCTCTACCACAGGCTTTCCATCACCCCTCTTAAACCAAACCAAGACTTTTTTTTTTTTTTACACTGGAAACATTTTACTGACAACCGAAGTATACTTTTTTACTATGCTGATGTTAAATCCCTAAATTTGAGCCTAGCCCTTCTAACTGGGGCTTGGCAAAATAGCTACATTTGCATTATGTAAAATATATATCAATAAAAATGTGTCAGTAAAAAAAGTGGTTGTTGATAAAAAGTTTGCAGTTTGTGAGTTAAAAAAAAATGTCTTGGGTTGGCAATCCTGTATTCAGGCTACGCTGTTGTCCTCATGACCCATAAAGGAAGGCAATGAAAACGTATATCCATAGATTTCCAAGCCAGTAGGAATTACCAGCAGACCCCTCTGCCCCTACCCCACACAGCCTGCATAATATTCCCCAGAAGCTCATTTAAAATGCATTTTTTTAAAAGATACCTAATATTATTTTAAAAACTTCAAGTGATGATGTACCACCTCCCTAGGCAAGCAGTTCAAATCTTTAATTACACCCCCCCCAATAGAAAACTGCATCTTATTTCAAGGTTGAATTTATCTAACTTCAGCTTCCAACCGTCAGATCCTTTTATTGACAGCAAAATTGAAAATCTCTCCAGAATCCAATCTGCATTGTCTAAACCCAGCAGCACAAAGTGATCAAATTGCCTTTCAACCTTCTCTTTCCTGAGCTGAATAAATAAGACTTATAGGATATAACGCTTGTTTTTTACAATCCCTGGATAATTTGCATGGCCTTCTACAAACAGAGGTCAGCAACATTTCACTAATAGCAAGTTGAACTAATGCAGCTTGATTCTAATGTGGCCCGGAGGCAGCAGTTATTAGATATTCTGCTACTGGGTGGCATATTCTCATGGAAAACTTAATAAGGGCCTTGTCACAGGTTTGTTTGTTATGTGTTAAGTTGGTGTCACACATTCACTGGCAACAGTTATGAATCATTGGGATGTAGTGACCTATTAAAGGTAGGATGCCTTAAGGAGATAATCCTCACCTGAAAGGGAACAACACTGCAACACTAAGAGGGCACTTAACACATGCTAAACTCCTTGAATATGCTGCTGTTTGAGTTTTAACTGCACTTTGCAAGTATCAAGTTGCAGGAGTGACACCACCCGAAAAGCAAGCTATATAAAGGGTTTTTTGGCAAACTTGGCGGACTGGAGAAAATCTCTGTGGGCCAGATTTGGGCTGTGGGCCATAGACTGCTGAACTCTGCTCCTTAGTATTATGGGCCACTGCAATGAAATCTGATCATATAAAAATTATTTAGAAGTTAAAATCAGAAAATCAAAAATTAAGAAATGGCAGAATTATTGCTCCCTATACAACCTAAAATCAACTCCTTTGCATTACATTCCAACTTTAAATTACATGATCACATATTATTTTTCCCTATAGGATCTCTCCTTCAGTGCACAGAAATCATGGTGCTTGGAAAAGGAATCAGAATTGTGTAGCAAGTGAGGGAATTGTCAGAAGGACTTTGGTCTCATGTACTAGTAAAGCTGGAATGTGCATAATGGCTAAGGCAGGGGCTCACATGAAGAGAAAGGAAATTTCACAGCTAAGACAGCTGAATTTCCCCATGGAAAACTGGATTCTATCCCTGCCTCTTAAAACTGAATTGCTGTGACTGGTAGTCAGGTGCTAACTTAGTTCCTTATTTTTCAGGTTGCACCACTTGTGGTCGGATTTATAGTACTAAGCACTACTGGTGCCACTGATGTCAGCAGGAGCACTGTGCTAAACAAAGTGCTACAATGATGCTAGTTACTCTGAAAAACTAAACCTTGGACACTTCTAATTAGACACGCAAAAAATCATTACTTTTGAGAAGGCTGACCTTAATCTTCTCAGTTACCTAGCTTTAAAATGGGGATAGCTTTACTTCATTTCTGAGTGATGTTGTGAAAACAGTTTATTAATGTTGGTGAAGTCCTCTGATACTATATGAGGGTGTGGGCAAATGAACTGTTAAAGCACTTTAAAGTGATAATGCTTTAAAGCAGATCTGCTGTAACTGTTTCATCTGTTCACTGTAAGTAGAAGTTAAACCACTGTAATGTAAAACTTGTTTCCTTCAGGCTTAAAATAGTATCAGTTTAGTAAGGTGTGTACAGCAGTGCTCCATGCATGTTTTACTACACTAATTTAGAGCACTTTTTATAGCACTATAAAGTTACAGTGCTCTTAAACATGACCGAAGTGCAGTGTTGGGAGGGGGGTGGTCTCTAAGCCTCCCTGCACTTTCCAGGCTAGGAGGTACTCTGCAGTCTCCTGGGGCTTCTCCACTGGTCAGAAATTTGACCAGTGTACAGAAGTTATTTAAAGCACTGTAGGTTGCTGAAGTGCTGTAAAATACAGTACTCCAAATGTAATAATACCTCATTTAATTTAAAGCACTGTATCCTTTTTAAAGTGCTGTAAAGCCATGCACTTCTGATAAGTCACAGCAATAAAGCATTTTAAATGGCAAAAAAAGGAACTTATGTACACACCTCAAGAAAAGAAATGAAACAGTTACATCAGTTCAGCTGATGCATGCTTCCAAATAGTAAAATGGTTTTAAAATGGTTTAGTGTTACGTTTGTCCACAGTTTCAGTGTCATAATACAGCTCATGAGGACACTAATGATTCTGTAATTATTGCAGAACTTGTATGGTGTGTAAGAGATAAGGCCTTGGGCCCCACACCAAATAATGAGACAAAAGAAATATCCACTAAGTGAACATTATCCAGACTCACCAATGAATGAGGTTGGGATCCTGTGGGGGAAAATAGAACAAAATCATATAATTAAAAACCGTGATAATGAATTTGCACAATGGAGTTGAATCAAGGTTGTAGGGACAATCTTAATTCTGGCATTTCCTAATTTCTTAATGCTTGACTTTGCTCTCCTAATATCCTTCTGATGTGACAGGTTGTTATTTTTTTTATCTGAAAAACAGATTTTATCACATGGCAACATATTGATTCTTAGAGACCCACAGGACATTTAGATAAACAGACTTGCCACAATGTAACAAATTACTAGTAGGATTCAAAGAATTTCTTCTTTGTGGACCAATCATTACTGACAGCAAGAGACCTTGTGCTATTGGGGTTTACAGTATTTGCTAGACAGCAGAGAATCAGGAAATTCATGTTCAGTTAGAGCAATTGTTCTCAACCTTTTTAGACTCAAGGCACCCCTCAGAAAAGGAGTTCAAACTAAGATCTGGCATTTGTTTGGTTACAGAAAAAAGAATAGAGTAATTCTTCTGTTGCAAATAATTTGGAAAGATCATAACAGATCAGAAAGGTATTAACACTATGGATTCCTGTTTGAAATGTCTGGGTTTATCTTGTGAATTATGTTTTCACACTTAACAGTACTAACATCTTGTGATGCCCTGCGGCATGCTTGAAAGAATCTGAAGGCATTGCCATGGCACACTGGTTAAGAATCAGTGAATTAGAGGTACTACAGGAAGGTATTCTCTAGAGCAGGAGTTCTTAATCCCTGCGCTACGGCCCAGTACCGGGCCATGGCAAGTTGGCTGCTGGTCTGCAGACGAGTCAGCTGCCGGACCGGAAGTGGCCGTGGACTGGCAAACCGCGGCCCCCCAGAGCCGGGTGGAGAGGCTGAGGCTTCTTCCACAGGGCCCATGGCAGCGCAGGGATTGGCCCGCCCCCCACACCCAGGGACTGGGGGTATCCTTACCTGTCTTCCAGCCAGAAATTCCGGCCACGGTTGGCTGTGACTGCTGGGCCATGGTTTGCCAGGCCACGGCCACTTCCAGGCTGCAGTTTGCCAGGCCACAGTATAACAACTTTGGGAACCCCTGCTCTAGAGATCACATCATCTATCCCTGAATACCCAACATGTTGCTTGTCAGTCTGTTTTGCAGCACCTTTCTACATATTGCCTTACTGCACACTTGTAGCCCTACACTAGCTCTTTATGTAGAGGGTTATTCACAAAAGTGCTACTACTAGCTTTCAAGAACAACAGATCAAGTTCCTGGCACTTCTCTCAATCTCCCCTCTCCAAGTTCCAAGCAGGTTTCTACAAGCTCTTGTCCCAAGTCCATTTTTCTATCATCATCTCTCAGCTTCAGAGATGTTGCTTTCACTCTACCCATCCTTTCTCTGCTCCTACTACTTTCGCATTCCAATCAGGCTGCCTTCTCCTCCTCTGAATTGCCTGGGTAACAGCTGGAAACAACAGAGCACTGGAAAGGTTATTCCTACCTTAAGCACTTGTTCTTCCTATAGTGGCCACTACCAGCCAATGCAAGTCGTGCTCAGCTACTACAGCTGTGAAATAAAGCATGCTCAATCATTGGGGACAGCAGGAACTATGTGCCTGGTGCAGCATGCTCACTGCAAACAATCTTCAGAATTTAGCTGAGAGCTGCAAACACTTCCACTGAGCATGTGCACAGTGGTATTTTTCAAAGTTGTTTTCAAAGGTGTGTAACTTGTCCAAATTTGTGTGGGCTTTCATGACAGTCAAGAGTCATTGACAGTAAGGTGTGATAACCTGGTGTCAAATTTCCAACTTCTACGCCAAAGTATAGCTGAACCAAAGTGTGAAAAAACCTAGGAATTTCAAATGGACAAAATCTCTTTTTCTTCAGACATTGTCAAAAAGGAGCCTAAAACATTTTTGCTGAAGCTTAAAAAAGAAAGAAAAAGAAAAGAAAAGAAAAACAGCCTTAGGCAGATACTTAGCACAAAAAAGGCCAACCAAGTTGTTCAAGCCTGACAAAGCCACAAGCAACTGAAGGCATGGTCTTGTAAGGCAAAGTGTTAAGCAACTTGAAGTATAGCTCTTGGTAATAGAAACCATATATCACATGTTTCATACAGGTTGCTAATTTTGCTCTTATTCTCTTACCTGGACTAATACTCTTTTACAGAGACCAGCTTTTACTAGGGATTTTGCAACCCAGCGAGCTGCATATGCTGCCGAACGATCAACTTTGGAAGGATCCTTCCCTGAGAATGCACCTCCTCCATGGGCTCCCCAGCCTCCGTAAGTATCAACAATGATCTTCCTGCCAGTCAATCCGGCATCACTCTGTAGGACAAACCATTATACACTAACTTGATAGAAAAAGGCTCTATATTTAAACTAATTTCATTACCCTGGTGAGGTACTGACTTGGGTCTATTTCATCTTTGTCACAAATACAATTGATATGTTACTGTGCACCTCTTCATAGACAACTCCTTGATGCAATCCACATGGGATCTTATATGGACTGAGATGTACCTAGAAGCTTGTGTTTCAATAACTTTTAAAATACAGTATTGATGTGATCATGGCCCAGTTCTTCTGAAGGTTGCAATATAACCTGTTTTCTTTGTAAGTCATTTTGCACCATCTAAGAGTGATCCTAATTTTCAAACTGCTGGTCACTGACCATGTCTAGTACTGATTTTTGGAAATTATGAGATTACTTAACCTCTTGAAGGCAGAGAGCAGTGGGAAATCACAACCTTCCTAAGGAAATTAACAGACTCATTGATTATATATAGCACAACATACATCTGATGGACAAGATTGTACGTTGCAGAGGAAGGGAGACTGCACTGCTTGGGGGAACAGAGGCCTTCTTGCTCTGAGACAGAACAGGGACATTGCTCACCACTCAGCCCCCGTAAGGAACTGTGATCTCCTTGGATAGAATCTATAGCACCTCTGTGTGCTCCAGGACACAGGGCCTGCTATTCTGACCATTCCTTACATCACTTGTATGCCCACTCAGGAGGATGTGTTTATTCATCTCTTTTTGCCTAATTGCCCTCATGTAAGAGCCTGTCACAATCTGGCACCATGTTGACACCTGGAACACTGATGCATGGTACATTCCATCTTAATCTCAGATTGTAGATCGTTAAAGCTATCTGAATAGCTTTAACTTGACAAGCTAGTTACTTGTAAATCTTTGTGCTTATGTTACAGGTATTTTAAAACAAATGTAAGGGCTTCAAGTTTAGAATTCTGGTAAATAATTTAGGAGCCTATTTGTTTAATAGTTTGACTATTTTGTAATTATTAAAGTATATTTTGTCATAGATAAAATAATCCAGTAATCCCCTCCATTGCAACTGCTGATTGGCCAAACTGTTTTATGGAATGCTAACCTCTTCACAGCTTCTTAATGACAAATGATAAGCAAAAGTAAGCAAAGCCTCCTTGTAGTTCATACTTGTACTGTTTTATGGAAAAAAGTTCATTCAATTTTTAAAGGAGAGCAGTTGGAAAGACATAGATCATCTCAGTTCATTTAAATTATAAACTTTTCAATAAAAATGTACCTTGGGACCACCTTCTATAAACTTTTCACTTGGAAGAAGATGGTAGATTGTGTTTTCATCAAGATACTTTCCTGGAATAACTTCTTTGATGACTTTTTCCATTAGCTCATTCCGTATTTGTTGCAAAGACACGTCAGGAGCATGATGTACAGAAATCACTACTGTGTGGACACGGACTGGCTCCACTGCTCCATTGTTTTCCTTATATTCCATTGTGACCTGAAAAAATCCACAAATGGAAATGCAAATCCAGCAGCCCCTCATCAAATCCAAATGTCCAGCGTCATATTTCCTTTGTGTGGCAGAAGTAGTAGGCAAAATTAAATTAATTACAAAAGGTACAGGATACCGGATTATCACAAATATCATGTAGCTATAACTGACTGAGACACCAAAATTACCACTATGAAATGGTTTTACAGAAGGGTCACTGCAAATACTTACCTGTAATTGGCTACCAAGGAGCAAATAGCTTTAATGAAAAAGCAAGAGCTTGAGATTTCAACTGGCAAGTATTAAGATAATTCACAGGTAAACTAGTGAGGTAAGATAATTTAAAATGCTCAAGTTTCAGATAGAGCTAAATTAATCTTTGAAAGAAGTTAATTATGAACAAGGGGGGGAAAGGGGGGCATCTACACGTGCTATTAATGTGCCTTAAGAATACTATGCAATAAAATAAGTCACAGGAAGCTTTCCCAGGGAATGTGTTTACACATGAGCCATCAGGTGCAGATTTGCTTCTACCCCTGCCCTGCTCTGCCCCCCTACAATCCTGGCTGAAGCTGCCTGGGTGGTAGGTGCACTCTTTAAAAGGCTGCCCCGTGCCTCGCTTCCTGGCCACATGCTTTTCTGGCCTAGAGCAGTCTGCAGCTTGCTGGCACAATGCTCTAGGACACTGTCCCCAGAGCTTGTGCCCAGCACACCATGCCTGCTCCACATCCTGGCCCTGACCATGACAACCAGCAGTGCAGGCTTCTGCTTCCCACTGTGCTTGCTATGCTCTGCAGCCTCAGTGACCAATGACTGCTGTCTGGCTCAGGTGGGCCTCAACCCTGTCTACCCCCTTGTGCTGTATGGCCAGACTCATGGCTCTGCCTATGGGCCACCACCCCTGGGCCATCAAATACCAGCCCCTGGGCCACCTCCCAGACCCTGGCAGGGACACCAACCCCCACATGGATGTCACCATAAGTGCTGTCCATGAGCTCCTGGGGCTCTGGCCCCACCAAATGGGCCTGCCCTGCCAGCCGGGATTTATGGCTCTGCATCATCCAGTGTACCTGGGATTACAACCAGTGGTTGGACTCCTTCTGGATGACCCGAGCCATGTTTTAGGAGCTATTCCACCAGCTCAGCCCACACCTGGAGCGCCAGCCCACCTCCATGCACCTGCCCCTCCCCACAGTGACCCCAGTGGCCTTCATCATCCTCAGGCTCACCACACCTGCCAGCCTGCAGTATATTGGCCACCTGTTCAGGGTGGGCAAGGCGCCTGCTGGGGAAGCCATCCTGGAAGTCTGCAATGCCCTCCAGGATGTGCTGAGCCAGACCATGCTCTGGGTCACCAACCCCCTGGAGGTAGTGGTGGGCTTCTGAGCCCTGGGCTTTCTGCAGTGCATCAGGGCCCTAGATGAGAGACACATCCCCATCACCTGCCCGCCCCAGGGAGACTGCCCATACTACAGCTAGTGGGGTTTCCACTCAGTCATGATTCAGGCTGTGGTGAACCACTGAGGCACCTTCATAAGCATTGCCACCGACTGGGCTGGCAGGGCTCACAATGCCTGGATCTTCCAGAATTCTCCCTTGCCAGCCCTGGTAGGGAGTGAGTGCATTGCGCCAGGTGTCCCAGACCTGCAGCTGGACAACGAGCATCCCAGCACCCCTCATCAGGGACCCTGCCTACCTGCTGCTGCCATGGCTTATGTGGCCTTACACTGGCCAGCTTGACCCACATCTGGTACACTCCAACAGGTGTCTGGGCCAGAGCCGTGCATTGGTGAAGTGCATCTTCGGCCGCCAGAAGGGGACACTACCGCACCCTCACCACCCACCTTGAGTTCGCCAAAGCCAACATCCCCCAGGTCATTGCTGTAGTCTGTGTGTTGCATAACATCTGCAAGGGCCGGGGGGAGCTCTTCCATGAGGTGTGGATGTGGAAGGTATGGCAGGTGGAGGATGCCTGGCAGTAGGAGTGCCAGCTGTGGCAACAGCAACAACACCCTGTGCCCCCCCACCACCACCCGAGGCCCTGAGTAAGCCACACACCTGGCAGTGGGGGCCAGGGCACCATGTGCATGCAGCTCTGGCAGACAATCTCCTACTGCACCCCCTGCAATAGGGCACCTGGGTGGCCAGCCACAGAGCCCAGGCCCACAATGCACCCCCAACACCACGCATGCTGAGGACAGTTTCAAGCAACAGACTCCCAACTACAGACTCCCTCTCACCCTTTCTTCTCAGCAACAGACCCCACCTCTAACCCCAGCACCCACCAACAATAAAGCATCTTTCCCATGCAACTATGTACAATGTGGTCTATGACCTCTTGGGGGGGGCGGGCAGGAACAGTGGGAGGTGCCTATGGGGCGGATCCCAGGGAGAGGTGCCCAGCACCCCAGCCTCTGCCCACACCACTACAGGTACAGACCCAATGGTGAGACCAGTGGGTTGGGGGCTTGGCCACGGGTGTGGGAGGCCACTGTCAAGGCTGTTCAGCCTGTTCCTCCTCCATCAAAGGGCCAGGGCCAGCAAGGCCCTTGTACAGAGGTGGCCCTACTGCAGGCAGCTTTCACACAGGGGCTGCATGGTGCCCGAGAGAGTAGCAGGGAATGGCCAGGTGGGGGCCCAAGTTGCTGGGGGACCCAGCTCAGAAGCAGAGGCAGGAAGCCCTGGCTGCTGTATGTAGTGCTGGACCTTGTCCCAGGCCCACTGGGGGGGCTTGAGCTGGGCCATGGGCGGGTGCTAAGTGGAGCCGGGGGCTGGGCTGCAGCTGGCACAAAGGTGACTGACAGTCCCCCACCGTTGCCTCCATTGCCCAGGCCACCATGGCAGCCTGCCACTCCTGGGCCTCAAGCATCCTCTCAAGGAGGACAATGTGCCTGTTCTTGAGGGTGAAGAGCCTGTCCTAGGAGGCACAGTCCTCAGTTCCTCTCCACTCCTGCTCTAAGTCCAGGGTTCGCCAGGCCTGTGAGTCTGCCAGCTGCTCCTCTACCACTGTGACCAACCAGGCCAGCAGGAGGGTGTGGCCCTGTGTGCACTGTTGGTGAAGGCAGCGCATGCAGAGGTTGCTGGCAGATGGTGATGGCATCCTTGCAGGCACATCCTCACCAGCAGCTGGTGGTTCTTCCCTGAGTGCAGCTGCTGGACCTGCAGAGCAAGTACAGAGAGGCTCTTTGTGAGAGTTTGCAATATTTCATTGAAAACATGAACTGCACTGAGCAGCTGTGTGCTAGCAGCCCAGCCTCAGATCAGGGGTCATGCATGAAACAGGTACCTAGGGACCATGGTAAGTTGGCTGGGTGAGCCCTCTGTCCCCACTCCCTCTGCAGGGGCAGGTTGCCTATTTGGCACTTGCCACAAGCCGCCTGTCTTCCTGATCTCCTACCCAGACCAGGGCTGGTTCCAGCCAGCACTTGTCACAGCAGCTTTGGGCCAACTTCCCTCCCTCTCCTCCTATGGGCCAGGCAGTTTAGTCCCGTGGCACCAGGCCCACACTGCCCAGGATCAGGAAGTGAGGGGCTCCTGCCCAGCCGGGACATAGAGCTGGTAAGGCTTACCATGTTTTCAGGTCCAAAAAAGAAGACACCGGAGGGGGGCAGGGGGAATATGATGGTGGGGGGCAGTGACATGCTAGTGCCCTGCCCCTGCCCATTCTGTTGCCCCTCACTGACAAGCCCCAGCCCCGCCTCAACTCTGCTGTCCCTCACTCCTGACCCACTGACCCCAGCCCTGTCAGTGCACCTCACGCCCCAAAAGCAGTACCCTGCCCCCCACCCCCGACCTGCAGCTCTCTGGTGCTGCCAGTGCCCCACACACCCAACCCACAGTTACCTGCCCAACCCCATGCCCCTCAATCCTGATCTGCAGCCCCATGCCCCCTTCTAGCCCTGCTGGTGCCCCTCACTCCTGACCCACAGCCTCCTACACCCCCAGCCCTGCCAGTGCCACTCGTTCTGGCCCACAGCCCCCTGCCTCTTCAGCCCTGCCAGTACCCCTCACTCCCAAACCTCTGTGCTCTGCTCCCTGCTGCCTCAGATCACCCTCCCACTGCTCCCACAAGCGGAGCAAAGCAAAATTGCAAACTCAGCTCTCAAATGCACACACTAGGCATTCTGGAAATTGTAGTTCTACCTAGCGGCATCCATACTGAAAACAGACACAGGGAGGAAATCCCAGACATTTTGCCTGTGTTTAAAAAACCCGCCCAGACAAAGCACAGGGGGCTAAAAAAGACGGCATGTCCAGGAAAGCCTGGACATATGGTAACCCTAATGCCCCTGCCTTCCTCCAGCAGCTTTCTCCAGAGAGGCAACCTGAGCCAAGTCCCCTGTCTTGTGTAGCCTGTATCCCAGGTGTGCTCCGGCTGAGAGCACCCTGGGTGTGCTGCAATGAGCTGTTAGAGAGGATTAAGGGGTGCCCAACCCACTATGCCCTGCTGCTTCTGATCACCATGGTGTCTAGCTTGGGGTCCTGAGCTTCAACAGTGCCCCAGGCCATCTCACACTTCAGCCCCAACATGCACTGCTGCTTGGAGGGGTATCTCTGCCTATGCTACAGGTGCCTGACCCCTGTGGCCGGGGTGGAGATTTCTGCTGTCATTGGTGAGTTTCTCTGTATGTGACAAGCTCCTGGCTGCCTAGCTGTGGGGGGTTCTGGCCACCCAAAGTTCTGCTCTGCCTCCCACTTCCCTGCATGTTGTGGGGGGAACTGCAGTGGGGAGCTCACACAGGCAGGGGAAGGGAGGGCCCCTGGCTTCAGGCATGCAGTCTGGAGTGGGGTGGGGTGGGGTGGGGTACGGGTGAGCTGGTGCAGGCACAGGTGACTGCAGCACCCCCTTTTCCCCCAGCCTATGTCCCAGTGCAGGGCTTACCGGATGGATGTGGCCGGCAGCCCTCGTGGTCCAACTCTGTCCCTGCCAGCAGCGAGGTGGTACAGCTGCTTGCAGTGTCCTGGGGTGTAAAAGCACAGCATCTTGCTGCCCATACAGCGGGCCTCTCCGGGGAGGAGTTGGAGCTGCTCAGTGCTGGAGTCATCCCCAATCTGTCCTCCCTGCTGGGGGTGCGAGTCCAGACTTGGTGGGGCATGTGTTGCGGGGACTCCCTGAGCTGCCAGATGAGGCCTGGGGCAGGGAGCGTGCCAGGACCTGCAGCTGGTGCCTTTGGGCCCTCCCACGGAGACTGCTTATCACTGCTGGGCCCTGGCAGAGGCTCCAGCAGGCCACCTGTACTCAAGTAGACATTGCAGTCAAGATGCAATCCAGCTGCCACATGAAGGGTATGGTCCTGCAGGCAGCCCCGAACCACTGGTTGTGGTCTGCGATGCAGGCCCACTGGGCCCACAGGACTTTGACCTAAATGTGGCACTGCCACCCAGATCACTGGTGGCTGCGTTCCCACACACGGGCTGCCACATCCTCATAGATGTGGGCATTTGACTGGCTGCTGTGGGCAAACATCCTCTGCACCTTGGTGTTGTCCAGACTACTATGAGGTCAGTCATCTCTCCCTCGGACCAGTTGGGGCCCCAAGACACTTCCTGAGGCATCAGGGAGGCTGCCATCACAGCTGCTTCCAAGGGCCTTGGGGCAGGGCCGTCCTGGCAAGGGGTAAATCAGGATGACTGCCCAGGGCCCTGCACTTTGGCAGGGCCCCACAGAGCTGGGCAAATCAGCCACGGCCTCTCCTGCAGGGCCCACCTAGTGCTGGTGACTCCGTACTGCCACTGCTGGCTTCGTGTCTGGCCGCTTGCCACCCTGCCCTGCCTCCCCCCACCCCACCTCCTTAACTGGCTTCACACCTGGGCCCTGCACAGGCTGATTTGCCCCAGGCCCCACACCCTGTCATCTCTGCCTCAGGGGCACAGGCAGAGATTCCAGGTGCCAGAAGGGCTTGGCCAACTTTGTTTTTTGCTGGTGAGTCCCGAGGATCTTGAGGTGCTGATCTCTTCTCTGCCCGGCCCCTGGCCTGACTACCTGGCCCTTAGGATCCCAGCCACCTGCTTCACTTAGCTTTCTCTTTCCCCAGGTCAGCCTGGTCCTTGCTGGGTCTTGTCCCGGCTCCTCCAAGGCTCCTTCATTCAGCTGTCTTGGTCCCATGTCTTTACACAGATTGCATAGTTCCTTGCTGCTGGTGCTCTCCCCTTTTCCAGGGGAAGCTAAATGCCAGTCTGTCTTCTAGCTTGTTCTTAAATTTCCTGACTGGCCCCAGGCCAATGAAAGCAGGCTCCTCCTGGCATGTCATCCTGGGCCTCCAGAAGAATACCCCTCTCCCAGATTGCCTCTGGACTCATTTCTTGGGGCAACAGTGGCAATGGGTGACTGGTACCTCTTGAGTCAGGGGGGCACGTGTCCCCTCAGCGACCAGTCAGCGACTGTGGGGGGTGCCCCTACGGCCGATCTCACTTACCAAAAAGCAGCCACGGCGCTTCCAGAAATGCCCGCAGCCGCTTCTGCTGGTGGCCCCACTCCCTGGCCAGTGCTTGTGCATCACCTGGGACCACGGCCGCTTCACCTGGTGGCCCTGCTCCCCAGCTGGCACTCGCAGCGGGAGCATCGGTGCTCCCGCCTGCCCCCCCTGCCAGTCATCTATGCGGCAAGTGCGGCTGTCAGGGGATGCACCAGCGCTCTCAGAGGGTGTACATGCACCACCATGCACCCCTTATACATTGCCACGGACAGTGGCTATGTGGCTAGTGGGTGCTAAGCACCTGATAATTTGTTCAGTGGGTGCTTGAGCCCCAGAGGACCCATGGAGTCAGCACCTATGGGGCTTGGCATGTGCCCGCCGCAGAGAAGCAAAGTGCCAAGGAGATAGGCAGCTGACAGAACAGACCCTGGGGCCAGAGCTAGGGTCTGTGAGCCTGCTGTGGCCGGCACGTGCCCACACTTCTTGGGCCCGATGTCCAAGGGCAGGCAGCAGCTGGCACAGGGCAAGGGGGTCAGGCCAGGGGTCTAAATGCCAGGCTGGGACAGCCAAGAAGTCCCAGTCATGTGGCTTTGCCCCAAGCAGGAGGCTAGCCCATTGCTGGTCTGGCTGACCGGGAGCAGATTTGTGCCCAAGTTACCATCTACATGTGTGCAGTTAACCTACTACCTGTATCTACAGGTACTAGCAAACTGCACAGTAAACAAATTTACTGCACAGTAAATGTCACGCACAGGTAGATGGTGACACTTTACTGCACATTAGATTAGTCTAATGTGCAGTAAAGCATCTCATGTAGGCATGCTCAGGATGGTATATCAAATTCCAAAAGGCGCTTTGCACTAGCATTTCACACGTCAGTAATATTAAAATTTGCAGATGCCTGACACCTTTTGGGATTCAATTCAAGAGCTGTCTTATTTCTTTACTGTCTTATTTCAAATGGTTTCACCCAGCTGAAGTTCACACATTCTAATTACTGGTAATTCATGATAGGGAAGAGTATGATCTGATCTGAATTCAGCTGTAGCTACTGCTGTCTATGGTGACTGACTACTACTTTCTAACAGTGGAATAAGGCATTGTGATAAGCCTGACTTTCGTTGTATTACTTTGACCAGAAAATAACACACAGGTTCCAAGCATCATTTCTTTGTCAACTACTACATGTGCCCTTCCCTTACCAGTTATGTATATATGCACAAGAATGCCTAGAGCCTAGCATTTCCTTCCACCACAACTGTATGTGTTCTCATAAAGACAAATTGCTCCCCAAAACAGGTTCTGAATTTGTTCTATACACCCTTGACTAAAATTACATGCATACCCCAATGGAAGTCAAGTTCAGCGAGACAATTTGGTACAATTTGTCATCTGTGAAACAGGAATTAAGCTTAAAATGCCCTTCTTTCCAGCAGTACCTGCAACAGTTTTGACTCCCATTACTATCTGGTTCTCTTCCAACTTGTGAAAACAAGTGGACATTAATTGTCTTATTAGAGGGAATCAAATGTAACTCTCTGTCTGGTGACCTATAAGAAATGACTGGGTTGTCTCAGTCCAGGTTTTGGGGATGTAGATGTATCTTCAGAAAAACTACAAAAGTTGGTAGAAACTAGACTCATTACTTTCTAGAAAAGCTAATGTATCTCTCTCACTCCTGCTATTTGTCCCAACAGTCATGTCTGAGGCACAGGTAGGACAGGCTAGGCTGACTGTTTCTAGTAGATAAGAGAATATGGTCTCCTAGGATGTAAAATCCACATCTTTCATGACACAATCAACCCAGTTGTTTCTTCATTATTTAAAAAATTTGAGCCTAAAAATCAATAATTTGGCTATTTCTTATCCTTAATATTCATAAGGTATCTGACATACTATGTATATTATTTACTAACCTGTGTTTTCCCATCTGGCCTAACCCAGGGCCATGTTCCACTCCGTTCCATGGCTTTTATCTTTGCATTCAGTTTGTGCGCAAGCAGGATCGTTAGGGGCATGCATTCTTCAGTTTCATCAGTGGCATAACCAAACATCAAACCCTGCATTAAAAAATGAAAAAGAGGCACTTATTTTCATTTTCTGTGCAGAGGAAGAGATATCAGTGCCATAGCATATTGCCATATTCTAAGGGCAAATTGCTTAGTTACACATATATCAGTCTTGAAGTGAAACTATCAGACAGTATTCAAGGTATTCCTTTGTTCTAAGAATTTCAGCAATGCCAGTGCCTGATTCTCAAAGAGCAATTCTGCCTTAAGAATTCAGACTAATTAGAGACAATGACAGAGAGCAACCTCCCGGTATCTGCAGAGCTTGCATTCCCCAAATGACCTCTACAACGCCTTGCATAATTCAAAATACCACAGCAAATCTTAAGAGCTCGTATTTGCTTGTGCTGACAACTTGATGTGCATCCAAGTCTCACTGAAATAAGTGCATGTGACATTATTTCTTGACCTTTTTTGGCAGACAGTAGGGGCAATGTTTAGTTGTTCAAACTCACATGCTTATTCAAACTCATTTGCTGTATGAGAGCAAATGGAACAGATTGTAACATACACTGGATTCAACTAAATGTTTAGAATTAAGTCATCTTACCTGATCCCCAGCTCCAATGTCATCCTCATTCTTGCCATGGTAAACAGCATATTTAATTTCTTTACACTGTTGTTCTAGAGCTACCAACACTGTACACGTCTTGTAGTCTAGTCCTGGTGAAGAAAAGTTGAGTAAAATAAAGACATGCCTTTATTGTTTTCAGAAACTGTTATAAAAGCTTCGCTGTATGTTGGTTCAGATTCTCAGAATATACTAGCAAAGATGCCAAGCTTTTGAGAAACAAGTATGAAATGTAAAACACCGATTCTCAACCTTTTGAGACTCAAGACATCCCTTGGAAAATGCCAACTCTTAACTTTCACTCATTTCTTGACTATAGAAAAATAACAGAGCAATTCCTCTGGTGCAAAGAACTCAGGGAGACCACAACAGGTCAGCTGTGGCAGTTTAAGATTTATTGGGGGCCTGGGCAAATAGAAAATTGGAGGCCCAGCAGGGACTCCAATGTGGGGGGCCTTCCCCTCCTGGTGCTGCTGCTGTCAAGGGTGGGGCAGGCCTTCATGCCTCGTGGGGGAGGCTGGGTGGACTGAGCCAGGCTGGGGGTAGGGTGGCACATGCTTATCTCTCCTCCCTGCTTGCTGCACCCCTCCCTCTACCTGCCATGGCTGGAGCAGGGCAAAGCCAAGCAGGGCAAGGGCAGAAGCAGGCTGCTGACTGTGGGCTCAGAGCTGTCCAATCCTGCTGCCTTAGCCCCAGGAGGCCCCCACCAGCTGTGCACCCCCTGCCTCCCCAGCAGTGGGAGGCACAACTCGCTGCCCCCATTGCTGCTGGACAGGCAGAGGACATGTGGCCAGTGAGGGAGTCCCAGGGCAAAGGCAGCAGGGTGGAGAGCCCTGAGCCCACAGCAAACAGCCCACATCTGCCACACACACAAATATGGGGGTATATGCCCCCCCATGCCTTCTGGGAGTGGGGTGCAGGGCAAGCAGCATGCTCCACAGAAATGCCTCAGCTGCACACAGACCCCACAGCCGTCTGCTGTCCCAGGTGGGGGCAGCTCAGGGCCGGAGCTAATGTCCCAGATGTGAGAGGGAGGACAGGGGTGCCTGCTTGCCACAGACCAGCTCCCAGGTCCCAGTGCAGCCGGTTCTTGGAGCCCTCGCCTCCCCCATTTGGCACCAAAGGATGGAATGTGGGAGCAAGGGGAGGCCAAAGTACCTGCCAGGTGCCTGCCACAGCCAGGAGTGGGTTGCTCGTGTGGCCTGAGCCACTTGCCCCGCACCTGCCCGCAGTGCAGCCAGGACACAGAGCTCTGCCTCTCAACCTGATCCACAGCCTCCTGCAGGCAAAGGCCACTGTGCACTGGGATGGGGCGGGGCAGGGTGATAGGCCAGGTAAAGTCTGGAGAAGTCTGACCTGGGGGAGGAGACAAGCAGCCCCAGGGGATGAAGCCGGGCTCTGCAGGTTAGGATGACCCGGGAGCGGAGGTCAGTGCCCTTCCACACAGTCCTGGCCAGCAGCAGAGACAGCTGCACCGAGCCAGGCTGGGCTGCCCTGCCCAGCCTCTGATGCAAGAGCTGCTACCCTCAGGCTGGTACCACTTTGCACTCCCTTCTCCTGAGCTGGGTGGTGGTGTGCAGTGCAGATGGGCCTGGCCCAGGGCAAAGAACAGGGGCCAGGAAGCACAACCAAGAACAGTAATCAGGAAGCTGAAGGCACACTTTGCCAGGTAGGGCATACCCAATACCTTGTAGTCAGACAATGGGACACAATATACAGCCGAGGAATTAAAAATACTTAGCATGTCATTTAGGCAAGCACACCATTTCTGTTGCAGCTCTCCCCAGTTCAGCTCCAATGTGCCTCTTGAAAATGGAGATGCATGGGGTAAGGCTCTATCTGGTGACAGTGGTATTTATCTCAGGCTGCAGTTGCCATGGGGTGGAACTGCACCATGTATCTCCATGTGCAAGAGGCATGTCAGAGCTGAATAGGGAAAATCTGCAGCAGAAACAGTACAACTGCCTATGCAATGTAATGCAGGCAGCACGCATTTCTGTTGCAGCTGCTTCTCAGTTTGGTTCTGACTTGCCTGTTGAAAACAGGTGCATGGGGCAGTTCTACCTGCCCCATTGGCCTGTTTCTAGAAAATACTGCTCAGGGTTGGACCGTGCTGGCTATGCAATCTAATCAATTAATGACATAATTATAGAATAACATAATATTATTAGCTATATAATTATGTTTGTGCTATAATAATAATCATAAGATATTCATACTAATTTTTAAAACAGGGTTCCTCATAAATTTTGAAAAGTTCTGGAGGGGTTCCTTGAGTCTAAAAAAAGGTTGAAATCACTGCTCTGACTGTTCAGGGAAGCAGAAAAAACTCATGTTTTTCAACTGCCGTGTCAAATTTAATTCCATAGTTCATCCAACCACAGGCATTTTTAAGTTATTTACAGACACACCCCATTGTCTAAAACCATTTAAATATGAAAGTTGGAAGAAAATATATAAAGACTTATCAATGGCTCTTATTCATGTTCCCCTGAAATGCAGATAGAAAGGCCATTCGGTAACACCAAGGAAAACATACTTGTGCCATATATATGGAAGGCTAAAGTAGGATGGTCACATTTAAGAAAATATTGTGGCTACTGCATTATATAAATTTCGGATACATATGGGGACATATTGTGGCTGTTACATTAGGAACACAAAATAATTTGTTTGCTTATGAACTTCAGGATTAGTCAAACCCAAGTACAAACAAAATCAGTTCTCATGCTGTTATAATATTAGTCATTTGCTTGCAGACTTCCAGAACCTCCTCATTATGTCATTTTCAATGCTCCAGTTCTACTGCTTTCACTTGGAAAAGTGTTCAGCACTTCCAAAAATCAGCCTCTTGTGTTATTGCCATCTTAAAAGGCCCATCCTGTACACAACTGTGACCTATCCATGTCTATATTATCATTTTTAAAAAAAATTTTACAAGGCAAGATATATCTGTGGTGCTATTTTCCTGAAGATTACTACTGAGATGAATTTGTCGGTATGTGGTTGGAAATGTTGATGCATGCCATGCCCACAATATAGGAGCCTATTCTCACCTTTGGAAGAGTCATCATAGCCTATTCTCTTAAGAGTCTCCCTCACAATTTGCTGATAGTCTACTACAGCTTTGGAAGTGATCTCTCCACATAGCAAAATCATTCCAGTTTTTGCCACGCACTCTGTAAAAAAAAAGTATCAATGAAGTAAAATGAAAATGACTGATATATACATTTTGAAAGTGTATTTGGTTCTACAAATAATATGGAACAGAAATTGAGGCCGACTAGACAAAACACATTATGGAGTTGCATCAATTATTAAGTCTGCTGTTTAGACTAATTCTAAAACTGTCTTCTTATAGATTCTTGTATACTGTGACACTTTGAGATGGATCTCCTGTCTTCTCCACCTACTTGAGACCATTCTTGCTGCCTGAGAGTCCCTGTGTAGAACTGGAATTCCTGAAGGTGCAGGGCAAGCAAAACTGCTCTGCCTGACCTCTGGCATAAACTGCCAGCCAAGAGGGGGCACATCAGAATGGACCTACATTCCAGCTATCACCAGTTGCTATAACACCCCTTTGGGCTCCTGGGGAGCCAAATAGATTATAGGCTTTTCAAACATGACTGTTTGTAGCATCATTCCCCTCCAGCTGCCTGTTACAGTCACGCTGGGTATCTTAATTTGGTTTAGGGATACTGTAAGGGCTGGTTTATACTACAGACTACAGTATTGCATAGACATCCCCAAGTGAACTTTAAACAAGATAGCTTGGGTATCAAAAGCAGCATAGCCTCAACAGCCCTGAATCCAGCTCGGGCTAATTTATCCCATCTCTTGGCTCATACTAGGCTCCTTGCTGCCGCAGCTAGACCAATTTAGATACATAAGCTAGCTTGGGTCTCAGTCTACAACACTGACTTCTTCAGTACTGATGAAGTGCCAAGGTAAGGGTGCTCACCTTTTGACCAAGACCTTAGGGGCTAGTGCAGGGGTGGGTAAAACATGGCCTGCAGCCTGGATCTGGCTTAATAACAGATTTGATCCAGCCTATGGGTAGAGCTGTGGGCAGAGCCAGCTGGTTCCAGAGCCCTGATGCGGAATCGGCCTCCAGCTCACTGGCTCTGTCCTGCAGGCAGCTGAAGGCTACGGCCACCATGTGGTGTCAGGCAGGCGGGCAGGACTTCCACCCAGCAGCATCAGCCCTTGATGCAGCAGCATCATCTGCTGACCTACATGGGGTTTCCACTGCAGCAGGTGGGCAGGCGGCAGGGTCAACTGTAGACACCACCAGCAGGTTCAGGAGCCCCAACATAGAATTTGCCAGTGGCATCTGCAGCTGACACTGTTGTCCTCCCAGCATGGTGGAAGCTCCCACTTGAAGCCCTTATCTGGAGCCTGCTGGCAGAATCAGTTCTGGACCCAGACTGAGCTTCTGCCTCACCGAGCAGGCATCAGCGTTAGCCGTGGTCACCAGAGGCTGATTCCGCATCAGGGCTCTGGAACCAGCTGGCTCTGCCCACAGCTCACACTGCTGCCTGTCCACCACAGTGGAAATCCTGGTCTGGGTCCACAGCTGAGCTCTGGGGCTCCTGGTGAACTACAGCTCTAGCTGGAGAGAGGGAAGGGGAGAGACAGAGACAGACAGAGAAAGAGGAGACTCAGGAGATACAGGTTCCATTTTTGGCCTGGCCACTGGTCTGCTAGATGACCTTGAATGAGCCACTTCCTTCTTTGTGCCTCAGTTTTCCCATCTGTAGGACAGGGACAAGTATACTGATATCCTCTGAAAAGCACTTTGAGATCAGCTGGGGAAATGCTACATAAGAGCTGCATATATTATATCAATACATTTACCTTTATTCATCAAGCTATTCATCAGAAATAATGAAATCAGGTTTGTTTGACCAGCCCTGTTTTCCATGAAGCCATTTGATTTTTATGAATTATACTCCTGTCCTTTTATTGATTCCTATATCAGAATGTGCCTGTCGGGCAGTCACCGTGTAAGGACGTATACCCCGATGTCCTGCTGACATTCACTGGCCCCTTGGGGTGGCTGTGCCCCTACAGTTGAGCTGGGTGAGATCTGGTGCCCCTTTTTTTCCTGCCTGCCATGACTTTGATGATATAGAGATTCATAAAAGGGAGGTGGTGACTGCCCATCTCATGCCCAGATCAATTGCAGGGGTTGCCTGGTGCCCGAAGTCTGAGCCCAGAAACAAAGGAAGGACCAGCCTGGAGCCAACTTTCCGATTCCTCTTTTTTTTTTCTTTTTTTTTTTTAAAGTCCTTTGAATTTTGCCCTTTTCTTCTCCTGGGTGTCTTCAAGATCTGGTGCCCTGGTGCCTGGGGCCATTACCCCAGGATCTTCAGCGGTCCACCTTCCCACCCTGGTTTCTTCCCCAGGACTTTAAAGCCGAACCACAGAGGGCTTAATTGCCAGCAAAGCCGCTTAAGTAGCTGAGGATTCCCTCCGGAGCGATCAGCTGGGGACGGGGCACCGCCCTCACTGCTCAGGGTTATTGCCCCATCTCAGCCGTGGAGCCTTTTTGGGGACCCTGGGTAGATGCCTGGCCTTGGTCTGGACTCTTCAACCGGCCAAGGGATGTCCCCGGGAGAGAGCGAAAAAAAAGTACAGAAAAAACCCCCGCTGCGGTGAGCAGTTCAGGCAGACCCCTTGCCTCCACCATTTCCAGGGTCTTCCCTGGATCCCCTTATGGCCCCTGGCCTCTTCCACCCTCCTCTTCACTCCTGTGGTGAGGGTGCCACTGCCTCTTCTGAATCGGACCAAGGGCTTACCCACACTTCTGGCTCCTTGGTTCCTCATCTCTGCTCCTTTGGTGTCCCTCCTCCTCCGGGTCCACCCCCCTGGCCTCCAGATATAGCCTGCACTGTGGATTGGCTCTGATTCGCTTCACCTGGTGCAGAGGTAAAGCTGGGCTGGTGCAGATCAGGAGCTTTTGTTGTAGCATGGACGTCGCAGCATGAGGTGGTCCATGTCCCTGGCTGGGGATATGCCCTCAGTGAGTGCCCTCCGGGCTCTCACATTGCCAAAGACTGATGTTAGGCTGATACTTTCCTGAGTCATTCTGCTTGCCCATTTTGAAAACTGTCCTAGCTATAACACTCATCTTTTAATGTTTTGGGTTTCCCCTGTATTTTTTGAGATTTATTAAGAAATAACACCAAAACCTCAGGTATCTCCACAGTGAACTCTCTTAGAACTCTTGGGGACAAGTTTCCAAGCCTGCTGATTTAAAATATTTTATCTTTAATAGATGATGTCCAACATGCTCCTCAGTATACAATGGGGTTTATCACTTTCGCTATCCATCACATAGCTGGCAAGTCAGCCAGCAATGCAGTAGTCCTCGACTTTAGGAAAGCTGACTTTCATAAACTTAGGAGGCTTGTTCTTGAGGCCTTGAGAGACCATGATTTCACAGGGAGGGGAATTTGTGATAAGTGGTTGCTCCTTAAGGAATTGATCCTAGATGCACAAGGGGAGTCCATCCCAACCCATAGGAAAGGTGGTAAAGGGGCTCAACAACCCCCTTGGCTCAACAGGGAACTCATGGACCTCCTACATTTAAAAAGAGAGGCTTATAAAGAATGGAAAACAGGAAACACCACTAAGGAGGAGTATTCTGCACTGCCCCGCACCTGCAGAGAGTAAACTAGGAAATCCAAGGCTGCAACTAAATTCCAGCTGACTACACGAATCAAGGACAATAAAAAGTCCTTCTTCAGGTATGTGGGGATTTGAAAGAAAATAAAGGCAACATTGGACCCCTGCTAAATCAGCTGGGGCAGTTGACTACTGACACCCAGGAAAAAGCCAATCTGCTTAATGATTACTTTGTATCAGTTTTTCACTAGCCCAAAGGGATCACCCTACCTAGCATGATGTGGGATGACCAGGGTGAGGGTAAATATATGCCCACCATTGGCATGGATCTTGTAAGGGAGCATCTTGAGAGGCTGGACCATCACAAATCAGCTGGTCCAGATAGATTGCACCCAAGAGTGCTAAAGGAATTGGTAGACACGATAGCGCAGCCACTGGCAAGGGTATTCAAGAACTCGTGGTGCTCAGGCAAAGTACCTGAAGATTGGAAGTGGGCCAGTGTGGTGCCCATCTTCAAGAAAGGGAGGAAAGAAGACCCAGGAAACTACAGGGCAATCAGTTTGACATCAATCCCTGGGAAGATTTTGGGGGGAAAAAAAATCAAAGAAACCATTCTTGACAGGCTAACAGAAGGCAACGTTCTGAGGGATAGCCAGCACAGGTTTGTTGCAGGTAAGTCTTGCCTGACAAATCTCATTTCCTTCTATGACCAGGTGACGTATCACCTGCACAAAAGCGAAGAGATTGATATCATATATTTGGACTTTAAAAAAGCCTTTAACCTGGTGTCCTATGATGTCCCTCATGGAAAAATTGGGCAACTGTAGCCTCGACTACTCCACAGTCTGATAGCTGGGGAACTGGCTCTGAGGTTGGACCCAGAAAGTATTAGTTGACAGAACCGAATCAACACGGCACTCAGTGACAAGTGGTGTCCCCCGAGGCTCTGTTCTCAGATCTGTACTCTTTAATGTCTTCATAAACAATCTGGACACTCAGTTTTCTGGACACTGGTGTCAGAAGTGGACTAGCTAAGTTCGCTGATGACACCATACTTTGGGGGAAAGTGTCCACACTTGAGGATAGGCTGGTGATCCAGGCCGACCTTGATAGGCTTGCAAGGTGAGCGGATGAAAACCTGATGGCATTCAATATGGAGCAATGGAAGGTGCTCCACCTCGGAGGAAAAAAAACCCGTATCACACTTATAGGCTTAGCAATGCTACACTCACTAGCACCGTGACTGAAAGAGACTTGGGGGTCATGACTGACCACAAGTTGAACATAAGCCACCAATGTGATATCACAGCTGGTAAAGCGAACAAAACTCTGGCTTGTATCTATCGATCCATCTCAAGCAAGACCCAGGATGTCATCCTCCTGCTATATTCGGCCTTGGTGAGGCCACAGCTGGAGTAGTGCATCCAATTCTGGGCTCCGCAATTTAGGAAGGACATGGAAAAGCTTGAAAGAGTCCAGAGGAGAGCCACGTGCATGATCAGAGGGCAAGAGAACAGGACTGACAAGGAGAGGCTGAGAGCCATGGGACTCTTCAGCCTGGAGAAGTGCAGGCTCAGGGGTGACTTGGTGGCAGCCTATAAGTACATAAGGGCTGTGCATCAGGATCTGGGGGAACACCTATTCACCAGAGCACCCCAAGGGATGATAAGGTCCAACAGTCACAAACTCCTGCAAGACCATTTTATGCAGGACATAAGGAAAAACTTCTTCACTGTCCGAACCCCCAAAGCTTGGAGCAGACTCCCCTCAAAGCTGGTGCAAACAGCTACTCTGGACACGTTTAAGAAGCATTTGGATGCTTACCTTGCTGGGACACTTTGATCCTAGCTGACTTCCTGCCCCTTGGGCAGGGGGCTGAAACCAATGATCTTACGAGATCCCTTCCAGCGCTAATGTCTATGAAATGGTCTTGAAAGTACATCAAGATCCTAATATGATACAAATACATCATCCTGCTTTTCTTCAAATGCAGAACAGAAATAGTTATTGAAAACTTTTGCCTTTTGTTTCTTGCTAAGAGTTTTACTATTTCTATCTTGAAATTGGTCACTATCATGAATAGGATCCTCTTTTTTACTTAAGTGTTTGTAAATTCATCATCAACCTTAGTTTATCCAGCCATGATTTCTCCCTTATGTCATCAGATTACCTTTTCTATTTTCTAC